TCTTATTAAAACCAATGTGACACTGTAGCTGAAAGCTAAGATCCCATGAGCATCTGTTTCGAATCCGATTTACCTCTTCCTTCCACTTAATTTCAAATTTATTATTTTAAAATATTTTAAGTCATTTATATGACTACACTAATGTTATGCTGCGGTATTCTAATTAATTATAAGGTTCTCTGGGGCACAAAAGTCAAGTGCTTAGTTCCAAACCAAAAAGTCAATGGTTCAAACACATCTAGCTGCTCTGAGGGAAAAACATGCAGCTATCTGCTTCCATAATGATTTCAGCCTTTAAAGCCTACTGTGCCACTTATCTCCCCATGGAGATAAAGCAGATAAGTATGTCTGCAGATCTTGACATGTCCGTTTTTAGACTTGATTCAAAATACAGAAGGGACTTGAAGAACCACAAGAATTTCAAGAGGGATATATTCGTTAAAAGGTAATCAGCTATGAAAAACTGCCTACTTACACTCATCAGTCTTCTCTTATTCATAATACAAGTAAGCCGTATGAATCTAAGGAATATGATCAACTCTTTCTTCATGGTTCAAATCTTATTCAACATCAAAGTACTCATAGGAGAGAAAAGCCCTATGAATGTAATGAATGTGGAAAAGCCTTTAGCCTTCTCGCCCACCTATATCGTCATAAGAACGTTCATAGAGGTGAGAAACCATTTCAGTGTGAAGAATGTGGGAAATCCTTTAATTGCAGCTCAAACCTTGCTCAGCACCAGAGTATTCATGCTGGTGAGAAACCATATGAATATAAGGGATGTGGGAAAGGCTTTCGTTGTGGCTCAAATCTTGTTCAGCATCCGAAAATTCCTTCCAGTGAGAATCCCTTTATGTGTAAGGAATGTGGGAAGACCTTTAAATATCACTGCTGACTGACTGAACATCACAGAATTCATACTGGTGAGAAATCTTTTGAATGTAGAGAATGTGGAAAAGCCTTTAGTCTTTCGACACAGCTTACCAGACATCAGAATATTCATACTGGGGACAAACCATTTCATTGTACTGAATGTGGGAAGTCCTTTAATCGTGCCTCAAACCTTGTTGAACATCAGAGCGTTCATGCTGGAGTGAAACCATATGAATATAAGGAATGTGGGAAAGGCTTTTGTCGTGGCTCAAATCTTGTTCAGCATCAGAAAACTCATTCCAGTGAGAAACCCTTTATATGTAAGGAATGTGGGAAGACCTTTAAATATAATTGTCGACTAATTGAACGTCACAGAATTCATACTGGTGAGAAATCTTTTGAATGTGAAGAATGTGGAAAAGCCTTTAGTCTTCAGACACATTCATACTGGGGAGAAACCATTTCAGTGTAAGTCCTTTAATCATGGCTCCAATCTTGCTCAACATCAGAGTATTCATACTGGTGAGAAGCCCTATGAACGTAAGCAATGTGGAAAGACTTTTAGACTTCATGTACTGCTTTCTCAACATCAGAAAACTCATACCAGTGAGAACCTCCTTGAATGTAAGGAATGTGGGATAGCCTTCAGACACCAGTATCAACTTATCAAACATCAACAAATTCATACTGGTGTGAAACCCTATGAATGTAAGAAACGAGCAAGAGTTTCAGCCAAAGTAAGAGTCCTGGTGTGGCGCTGTAGGATAAGCACTGGACTGCTAACTGCAAGGTCAACAGTTCAAACCCACCAGCATAAAGACTTTTTAGTTGTACCTCAAACCTTGTTCAAAATTGGAGAATTCATAGTGATAAGAAACGTTCTTTATGTATAGAATGTGGGAGAACATTTACACTTAGTTCCATTCTTTCTGCATGTCAGAGAATCCACACTGGTGTGAAAACTTACAACTACAACAAGTCTAGGAAGGCTTTGATATTGTTTAGTCTTGATTGCCTATCAAAGAATTCAGACTGGTTTGAAGTCCTATGAATGTAAAAAATGTGGGGAGGCCTTTGTTGTAAATGGACAGCTTATCAAACATCAGAAAATTCAGTCCTCAGAAGACAAATGGATATAAGGAACAATGGCAAACCTTCACTGTGAACAGCTTATTCAGCATCAACAAACTCATTCTGATGAGAAATCCTGTGACTATAAAAGAATGTCAGAAAACTTATCATCATGGCCTAAGAGTTGCTCAACATTAGAATATTCACACTAGTGAGAAACCCTTTGTGAAAGTTAAGGTCTTGTGTCAACTTGTCTTGGCCAGGCTTCTCAGTAGTTTGGCAGTTGAGATATAGCTATCCCCTCAGGATGTACCAAGATGTATGGAGATCCCCAAGGAATACTGGGCCTATATGTGCTGAAAGGAGACAAGGACCTTTACCCAGAGCCAAGAAAGCGAAAACCTTCCCCAGAGCTGGCACTCTGAATTTGAACTATTAGCTTCCTAAACTGTGAGAGAGTACATTTCTGGTTGTTAAAGCCATCCACTTGTGGTATTTCTATTCTAGGAGCATCCGAGAACTAAGACAGAATTTGGTACCAGGAGTTGGGGTGCTGCTTGAAAAAATACCTAAAATGTGGAAGTGGTTTTGGAATCAGATAAAGAGCAGAGGCTGAAAGAGTACTAAGCATTCTACTATTGAAAGCTTAGATTAACTACAAAAGACTGTTGGTGGAATTATGAATGTCAAAGGCAATTCTGATATGGAGAAGTATTCCACCAGAGCTGGCTCAGACGGTGAGAAATAGCAGCAGCTGAACTCCTGGAGCAAGAAAACTGAGTGCCTTCTGGCCAACACTTACTAGTGGAGTAGAGTGTCTCTGGTTCTTATCAGTAGAGCTGAAGAGCTTTGTGATACTTGCTTGAACAAGTCTTGAGAGCTAATGTAAATTGTACTGCTGGATTTTTAATGTGTTTGATGCCTACTGTCTCTTATTTCCCTCCAATTGCTACTGTATGTAATGGAAATGTCTGCCTTTGCCTGTTCCACTAATGTATTTGGAAGCAGATAACTTGTATTCTAGATTCTCGGATGAAAAGAAATTTTGTCCCAGGTTTGAAATTTGAACTTGCAAGAATTTGGGGGAAAAGGTAACGGTGTTAGTGAGCTTTCGGTTGTATGCATGTCAGTGACATTTTTGTTAGGCACATGTATGACTATGCTTATCTTTGTTTATGGTGCCCTTGGATAACACACTGGACCACAAAGTCAGTTTGAACCTCAAGGTTGGCAGTTCAAATTCACCATCTGCTCCTTGGGAATCCTATAGAGGATCACTATGAGTCAGAACCAACTCGATGGCACTGAAAACAACAACATGAATGGTTTACGGTAACAAGGGGTAGACTATGATGGTCAAGGTTTTGTGTTAACTTGACTGGGCCAGGATTCTTAGTAGCTTGGCAGTTGAGATGTAGCTATCCTGTCAGAATGTACCAAGATGGATGGAGAGCTCTCCTAACGCTATAGATGCTAAAAGGAGACAAGGACCATTTCCCAGAGCCAACAAAGAGAAAACCATTCCCAGGAGCCAGCAGTCTGAATTAGCCCTTCTAGCCTTCTAACCTGTGAGAGAATAAATTTTGGGTTGTTAAAACCAAAAAAAAAAAAAGAAGTGAAGATGGTAGAGAAGTAGATAAAAGCTATATGCCAGTGTTTTTGATCAATGCTTGAGCTACTAGGTTGTCCTTTATTGGACTACTGGACTGTGATGCAGAGGCAGAAGAGTCCAGCTTTTTTAAGATGTGGAAGAAGAAAACTAACACTTATCTAGTGCTGGTACATTTTTCATATACATGGATTATAATTTAATCTTTTACTTTTATAATTTATGTATGCAAATGAAATATACAAGAAGGGTTCAAAAAGCCATGGACAAATGGAAATAAAAGCTAATGTGTGTTTTTTCCCCACAAACCTTCTGATGGCCTCTTATATAATTTAATTGTATATATGTAATATATCATTTAATCCTTGCAGCAAATTAATCCTCATAACAATCCTCTAAAGTAAAGATTACCACCTTCATTTTAAAAACAAGGAAATTAAGAATAACAAAATTGTCACCTAGAAAAGTAGATACCCTCAAAACATCTCATATTTGGGTTTTTAAATGTCATAGAGTTGGTTCCAACTCATAATGACCCTGCATAGAGTTTCCGAGGTTATAAATCTTTGTGGAAGTAGAAAGCTTCTTTCTCCTGCCGTGTGACTGGTGGGATCAAACCACTGACCTTGTGGTTAGCAGCTCAGTGTTTGTCCTACAAAGCCACATAGTTCCCTCCCATCTTTGTAATAATCCAAATAAAAAAATCATATTAAATATCAACAAGATAAGTCACTTAAACCCTGTTGATGTTGACAGGTGGCACTGAGTCAGTTCCGACTCATAGCGACCCTGTATAGGGCTTCCAAGGAGCAGTTGGTGGGTTTGAACTGCCGACCTTGTGATCACAGTCCAGTGCTGATCCTACAGTGCCATACCAGCAGTCCCACTTAAACCCTGGAGATTTTATTACTTTAAAAAAATAATTGAATCTTTTTTAACCCACACATTAAATGGCTGTTTTTGCTATGATTCAAGATGATGTGAAGAGATGATTAAGAGACAAGTAACTATTCCATCATGTAGGCCTCTCAAATGTCTATCAAGGCAAAAAATTTGAGAACTTGGGGCAAATCTTTAATTTAGTTTATAATTAGCATCAATATTGCATAATTTAAAATAACTTTCCTGACACTCATCTTTCTAAATCCCCCAAAAGGAAAGTTGAAAGTTTTGATGAATAATTGTACACTGCTTCTCAAAGATGACTATTTCTCTACTCATGGTCTTAGAATATTTTTACTAACCTCCATCATTCTAGTTACTTAAGTGCTTTGACAAGTATGACAAGCTTGTACAGTGAAGTCTGACTCCAAGAGCAACATACCTTTACAGGCATTCCCTACTAAATGCTGCTTTTGTAAAACCTCAATTACTCAGTACTGACATTCACATTTTTACCAAATTGTCTGTTTTATCCCATCCTTGGTAGTTAGTGGCAAACACTTACTTCCTTGAGTTTTCTCATCTTTACAGGTTTTCTGGGAACTATGTGAAAATAACTGCAAATGAAGGAAAAGAAACATAATTAGAAGATAAATAGTACAGTAGAAAGTTCTAGCCTCTTTAGAGATGATTATTTTTTGCCATTAACATATGAAAACTCACAGAACTTAAAACTAAAATAAAGAACACTGTATATGCTAGAATCCAAATCAATATAAGCCTACTCCTCACTTATCTACTAATTCATTGACACACAGTAAATTACTTGATATGGCTCTTTTAGCCATAGCCTTGTAATTCCTACCAAATGACTGGGTTGTTTTTAGGTGCCGTCAAGTCAATTGACTCATTGCATCCCTGTATAGGGTTTCCAAGGAGCAGCTGGTAGGCTTGAACCACCAACCTTGTGATTAAATGTCCTGTGCTTATCCTACAGCACCACACTAGTACTCCAAAATAATTGGGTAGAGCTATACGAATCTGAGGTGTTTGTGGCCCACCAACAGGACTGGATGGTGTCCTGGTGTGGCACTGTGGGTTAATG